CAAACAATTCGCATACGCACGCTGAACACCACATTGGTTACCACTTTGAAAGAAGAGACGAATATGAAACGTCAAAGATTTTTAATGAATTCATCGATTTTTGCCGTGCCTCTACGACACGGCCAATGTAATGACTCGCGTGATATATGAGTGTTGGTATAGGTTCCCAATCATAAACGCGGCGTAATTTTTGATAGCGCTTTCCTGGTAATTCCTTGCACACGATGCAAGTTTTTGTGTGCGCGATAGGAAACTTAGACGCTGTGCGCCGCGATGCGAGTGTGTTGGTAGTCCAATTCTGTTCTCTCGGAGATATTGCAGCCGAGGCCGAGCATAAATTTCCAGCCAGACTTCATTTCGGAGCCGGAGCGGACCCGTTTATCTTGCACACAATAACTCACCCGGCCGTCCGCTTCTTTTTTGTTTTTTCCTCGCGCTTCGCTTTTCTAAGCTTTCCTTCTTGCGGGTGCGTCGACGGAGTCGTCGGGCGGGCAGGCGGCTCCACCGCTTTTCCAACTCGTTTTTTTTTCTCGCCCACTTTGTCTAGTTCCAGCGCACTTGTGCCGCTATCGTGCGAGTTTTTCTCGCTGTTGCGGCACACACACCGCTTGTTCTTATTGTCTTAGGAGGAGATGCAGGAAGGGCTGCGCCGACGAGATCCGAAGGGCGAAACAATCCAATAGGAAAATTGTAATCGCACCATCCCTCTACTTGTGAAATTTCCCGAAAACGGAGGCGCGACTTGACCGATATGAGTTATAGCGGAAGTTCTTATCGAATATCCAATATGAGAAAAGCTTTCAAAAACTCACACTCCAGACGGGTCAGAAATTCTCAAGATTCTTTATCTCGGGATAAGAATACCGGAAACTGTTTCAGGAGGTATTTATATAATGTGTCTTAAATCCCATACACACAATAAAGGAAGATCAAATTTCATCTGCCAACACAATATTAAGTCTTTAAGGTAACAAGATTACAATAATACTGAATTCTGATAGCCGACTGCAGCGCAAATGTGATTTTTATAAACTGTTGAGGTTGGATAATGGCATTGTTCCTCACGTAATTTCCGCAAAATTGGAGAATCTCACAATGCGCGAGAAAGCCAAGCAATGTGCCGTTAAAAATTGCGAACACAATCTTTCCATTTGTCTTCTTGCTTCTTGACTCAGCGATAAATTTCCCACCTTCGGTTCAATCCCTCACGTATGCCAGACAGCCTCATCCATCTCATAACCGAAGGAAGATTTCTGCTTAGGTTTTAGAAAATGCAGACCAGGCAGACACCCCCACATAAGAACGAATAATTAGAATACAATCATTTTCCACCTTTTCTGGAAATTCGTACATATAGATTGCGTAAAAATATCAAAAATAATTTTGTTCATTTGATTAGATGACCAAACGAAGACAAGGCGTCTCTTTATGAATCGGCTGATACAGCACAAGCAGGGAAGCAAGGGATGGCACCCACCATGTTTCGTACATATGGCATCTGCTCATATTGCACACGCAATTACTCATCCCGCGTTTCGCCTCGCGTCTCATCCTCGTCCTGATCCTCATCGTTGGCCCTCGTGCGGATTCCACCCACAGCATTGCGGAACTGTTATTGGGTGGTTATGAAGGATGTGCGCCATACGCGAGGGGATTGAGTGCATGTGCACCCTCCTGCGTCACACAATGATGGAATTAATTTGAAATTAACGGAATGAAAGGAAACCGTTCGTGGATATGAATTAAGTGGCAACGTGCTCACACAACTCAAATAAATTTGAAAATTCCATTTTACCATAGTAGGATGGTTAAGTTCAACAATTATAAAATTTAAATATTATAAAAAAATCAGTAGCACCTGTACCTATGCCAAAGGTTGGCATGGTTTTATTTTGCCAATCATGGAAGCACAAGACATGACCGAAGGCGTTGCAGCAGCTTTCGAGTGACTGGTTTACGGGCTGACGAAAACAAATTAAGTCATTTGAACCAATTATGGATAATGCCAGCCAGTGCCGAGTTTTTCACCGCGCATGAAAACGTGGTTGTAATTCCCACGTATTACGGCGATGGCGTGTGGTGCAATTTGCGCGTCGCCGCGTTGTTGTGCGCGTTCAATCGATGCCCCATAACGAACGAAAGATGCATAATGGAATGACGAAATTAACGATCCCGGCTTTACCTAATTCAGTTATTTAATTACACCGCACACTCGACCGCGTCGTAACCGCATAACTACCTTGCAGACGCTGCATGTGAAACAGTTTAAATTAGTAGATAAACGCAGGCACAACGCATCAAAGAGTGTGACAAAAACAGGTGGTAGGAAAAAAATGTCATGTTTTATCGCACTACGCAAAGGATATTTAGAACTACCCTAATAGCAAGATTGTTTTGCTGTTACCACATTCTACTTCCATTCGGAAAAGTGAAAAGTTAGTTACAACTATGTATAAATAAAGCAACATTCCCATTTCAGTAAATTCCACACGAATCACCGCGTGAAAAAGCAAAACAGTGTGTGAAGACTGGAAGACATTTTACGACACATAATAATGTTGTCTACTTGGGTTATTTGCTTCGGTTTAAGTTGTTTTATTATACAATATGTTAAACCTACCCTAAATTATTAAATCGTAAACTAAGAATGGTTAACAGTCGAATTATATGCTACAATCATAAAATAAAACAATAAAAATTCAATAAATTAAAAATGAGTTATGACTACATGTCAATCATCTACATCAAAGTAATATAGTTGTCTCAGGCACACTGTATGCTGATAGATGTATACAATATGTACACGTATTCCCTGCATGTGCAGATAGATCAGCATTAGTCACACCACTTGCACGTTCTACTCGCAGGAGGAATGCCACGGCGTGGGAGTCGCACCCTTGGCGAAATTGTAGATTTGCAGCTCTAGATTCTCAAGCTGCTTGCTGCGTGCCCGAGGCATTCCATCAAGCGTGCTGCGAAAGCAACGCCGCCTCGCGCATTTCCTGCCGTCTCGCGAAACTCGCAACTATGCGACGCAGCGCGTGCGAGGCGGCGTGCCGCATTAAAGGCCTGCGAAATATGCGCAACTTCCCAAAAAGGAATTTACTATATCACACTTAATGCAACCATTAACGGCAAAAATCATTTAACATTGTTCTGCACACGACGCGGCCCAACGTACGGTTAATTATTAAACGTGCTCGGTGCGTTAAAATTCGGCGTCAACACCTTCTCGAACTTTTCCAACAAATTCAACACAAAGTCAAATCCTCATTCGCGGTGGGAAAATTCAGAGCATGGGTGGCACGGTTTTGAAATTAATTACTTCTTCATGCATTCATCGCGTATTCATGCAGGCGATCGGTTTTAAGTTGTGGTTCGTTAATGTGCCGAATGTGCAGGAATTGAATGCGACCGTTGAATATGTATGCACAAGTTGCATTCGGCGCGATGCGGTGCACCACGTTTGGGTAATTTCGGTGTAATTCCGGTTCGGTCGACGGTGCGTGTAAGTGAGTTGAATTAAGTAATTGGCCGTTTTACGGACGGCATTAGGAAGAGTGCCAGCGCGCCGGTACCCTCTCGGAAGGAAGGCGAAGAGTGGCGGATGACCTTTGGCACAACAAATCAGCAGCGCGGAGGGTTTTGTCCAAGCAGAAAATTAAGGACGTCCATAATTCAATTGCCGAACGAATTTCGCCAAACGCAACGAACCTTTTCATGTACATGCGAACGCAAAACGATCCGGAATTAATCATCATAGAATTAAATAGATTTTTTACCCCACAATGTATTCCTTTTAAACAATACAATAAAAGTTTAGTTGTAAATATTTTAAACCACATATAAACTCTAAAGATTTTATCAGAAATAATCATTGATAAGTTATACTAGATTGCCCTGTAGATAAGACATGTGAATTCACAATTCACGTTTCGTTATTGGATTGCCACGATCTAAATGGTAAATGCGTCGATTTAACATTCGGCATTAATTTATTAAAGTCGTTCAGCTATGGACTTTAGATCATTTTTATTGTCATTAAGATGTAGCTAGGAATTGTACCAATTGTCCTCGTCTGGAAACCTGGCTGCAAGCAGAGAAAAATACGAATAGATCAGGTTGCTTGTGGCAAAGTTTCGTCCTTTGGTTTATGCGCGAACATTTGAAAGAAACGCGCGTATACGGCGAGTTATTTCCAATAATCCTCTTTTAGTTTAATTTATTAGGTAATTTATTACATCCCCTTTCTCCACTTTCTCATCCCCAGTGTAACAGGGAGGAGCACATCCGCCCGCCGCCGGTTTTCGCATCTTTTACTCTTCTTCTAATAGCAGAAACTCTCGGGCGTGTTCACCCTTGCAACCCCGCATCCCGCCAGAAACGAACCGCGCGAATAATATACGCGAATGTAATTGAACTACTTTTCACAAACCGCAGAAATAACTTAGAACATTGCCACTGGACTTAAAATACGGATTACATAATTTCTGAGTCCTTGGTAACGATATTCATTGCTTCCTAATTAATTAATTAACATAATAACTAAACATGTTTGCATTTCTGTGAAAAATTGTTTGATCTCTCTGTATTTGATAAGTTTTCCCGAACTTGTCATTTGACGTCGGTATAAAACATGTCACGCTCCCAATGCTAAAAAGAACTTGTGGATGCCACACGAGGAGCAGACGAGAAAAGGACTAAAAAATCTCGCGTCCTTTTCACCGCACGCGGTGGAAACTTTTTGCCCTCGCGCGTCTGAGAATTATGATGGCCAGCAAAATTGCCTCCGGAATATCAACGAACTTCCTTATCATAAAAGAGGAATTAAGATGAACGACGTTCGGAACATTGCTGAAATATTTATCAACGTGTATTTCATACACATCCACGATTCTTCGGGCTTTCTAAATTTAAATCAGAACGTGTGCCTGTCAAAAAGATACAACCTTTTGATACACTTATATAGGTACAAAGATGTATATTAAAAACATACTGGGTTCATTTTAAAGTTTTTAATTTTTTTATCATTTGAAATAAATTACAGTCACACAGACGACAGAGAAAGTGTTTGTGGGGTGGGTTGAAACAGGGGAGTGAGGGCCTATATTACACACTGAAAAAAAGTTCTATCGTATTTTCCACTTTGAGCAACAAATAAGCAACAAAACTTGTGTATATATAAAAAATAATAATACAATAATAGATAATTCAATAATAATAATTCAGAACAAACAAACAATAAAATATACTAATCGAATAGTATACACTCTATCCTTAACTATTATTGGAAATATTACAATATTACTTCAATATATCATGTTGCCGCATTCACGCATTCGACATTCGCGCCGTCACACACGCCTTTCAGTCAGTAATCGTTTATTTTTCGTTTGAATTTTTGTATTTTTATTATTAAATATATATGTACAAGTTCATTTTTCATCCGCGCAGAATTTCACTCCTGCTTCGCAGCGCACTGACAAACTGCGGACTCGAATCCTATCTTATGTACTTAACACGAGCGTGAGCGCTCACATCGTTTCGTTAAAGCCCATATTAAGTTTCGGAGAGCAAGGTACAGAGTTCCTCCGTTACACATTTACTGGTTTTCTTTGTGGTTAGCTTTCCTTTTGGAATTTTCAGACAGATTTACTTTTGTATCCAAAGCGCAAATGAATCTAGGGGCGCAGAGCTAAGACAATGGCAAGGTAGCGGCAAGAGAATCAAAGACTTTTGAAATTTTGATTTTAACTGTGTTTTATGCACCCCAGATTCGAATGCTGCTAGGACTGGCGTTACGTTTATTCTGTATATTTATAGCATACATATTATTTTAGTATTTAAGTACACATTAGTAGTAGTAGTTTCAATTTATGTTTACTTTATTTAAAGTTAAAAACGTATACAATTTGTTGTACTTTAGTTCATCTTATCATCAGCGTCAGTGTCGGCGTGCGACTCAATGTTGTAGAGTGTAATTTGTAAATATAAAAACAATTTCAACAAAAACAAATAAAATAAAAAGTGCGTATACAAAATGTATTCCAAAGTAATTTACAAAGAAATTGGCAAAAATAGAATTTAATTTATCGCTTCGCTTATGGTTTTTCTTAGATTTGCGCTAAGAAAAGCATTGAGAGATCCATAGTCATGTGTCGTTTGATGACACAAATTATTTAAGAAACTTACTCGATAAAATTACAACTAAATTTCGCTCAGCTCTCTTGTTAATCGTTTTGTTTTGCTTGTTTAAGTCAGTCACATGTCTGTATCTTGTTCTGTTTGCTTGCATGTATATACTAATAAATTACATACCTATATTTTGCACATTCGACTTATCATTAGGCTATAATATCATATATTTATTACAGTTAAAGTACAATTACAATTTGTTGCAATGTTAAACATCCAAATTGGTTTTTTCAAGTCATTTGTTTAGCAAGTCACCAAGTTTTCGAATTTCGTTTAATGCCACTGTGACAAATTGCATTTGCATGAATATAATTTAATTAAAAGCTGTCACTTGCTCATTTCTATACATGTTTACGTATTTTCCATTATCCTTAATGTAATATCAATTAATTACGTATATACTTAATATAAATAGGAGTATTTCAGTTTTGTCATTGATTATTACGTATATCGTTCACATGTTTGCACATGTTTTGTTCATTTATTCAATGCAATACTATCGAGTTTTAATTTCCTCTCAGTGTGATTGAGATTTACTTTTTGAGAAATATGGCACAGTTGCACAGTAACGTTTAAGTGAAACTGTTAATATTTACAATTCTCAACGTGTCCAACATTCAATTTCATCAATATTTCCAAACACTTTGCCAAAAATACACACTGCTCTCCAAATCCTTTTTGAATTCTCATGCTGCCTGCCGCACGTTCCATGTAGGTAATATATAAATACGAAATACTTTGGATTACTAATTAATTCATAATTATCTTCATATAATATCTTTTTCTCGTTGCGCACAGCAGCAGCCCACTTCGATTTACGTATAATTGTTTTCGCTGTTGCGATCGCATTCAGCGCGTACATCTTTAGTTTACAATATTATCATTCAATATATTATATCGTAATTACGTGCTATATGTAAATTTCATATCATTTTATACACCTACATTTAAAAGTATACACAATTTTCACAAGTTGGGTCCAAGTTTGGCGTAGTACGTATATAAGTTTCGTGGCTTTCCGCGCGTCATCTGAGTTTTGCTGGCGAATGCTCCTCAAATGGTGCTGGTGCTCCCCTTCTTGCAAACAGCCACCCGCAATGGATGAGATGACGAGCGTGGAAAACGTTACGTATGTGCAGAATTTCATTTAGCAAATGTGTAACTTAGTGTCAAACCGGCGAGGGTTTTACTGATTTTGTCGTCGATTTTAATTCACCGATCTGAAACAAAAACAAAGATGCCAATTAAAATCATAGCTCAAAATTTTGATAATCATAAATTTATGTTTATCACCCAGATGATTCCGAAATTAAAGTAAACAAAAACAATTTTTTATTTGCTTATGTTTTTCGTTGCATATCCGCGATTATTTATTTAGATTTATGATTATAGTATCTACATATCCGTGCAATAGCTCTTCAGATTTTTGTATGCTGTGTTGAACGAGCCAAAAGTGCTTTCCAGGACTGTATCAACACGCCCCAAGAAACCTTTGACTTGACGGTTGTTGCAAATAAGGACTGATAGAAGCCGGATCTGACCGAAAGCGGTTTATTCAAACGTATTGCTTATATCGCTGCTTCCGAATGCCGAGTGTCTTCGTGATGGTGCTTGAAACAAGCGAAGATATTTATTTATCCAGACATATATAATTTCCTTGGCTCTATGAAATTTGTCGCGCCATTTAACTTTTCCACATTGGAGGCAACGCCGTCGCTTCAAGCGGCAGAGGCTCGTGCTCATACACAGATATATCACACATAAATATCGCAACTGTTTGGTCGGATTACTTTTCTTATACTTTTCAACTTGGCTTTGTTTTGATTTTTATATAAAAGATATTTTCTGTTGTTGAAAACGTGAAATCAGACAATTTTTTAATCCTCGTTACAACTTAGAGTTACGACCGAAAGTGTTGAATGAAGATAAACTGGCGGCGAACGTGAGTGTGTGCAAAAAAAAGGGGGAAGAAAAAACCGGGCGGCGAAGATAAACCATAATTAGTCCCGGTGTCATTTACACTTGTTATTTAAATTTAAAGTGGCGCAAACGTTTGCCAGTCGCGCGCATGCATGAACGCGCGTTGTTCTTTTTTGTGTTTTATTTCGGCACGTTTTTTTCTCTGCTGGCAATTTGCGCCTGGTAGAGATAGAAATACGAATGCGGGGGGAACATCCAGCATCTCGGTGTCACCCTCGCGCCGAATCCCGTTATTAGGATAAACGGCCAGGACGCAAATACATATTTATTGTTACAATATATATAAATCAGCTTAGCGAACCGTGTGTCTAGCTGTAGATATTCGTGCAACTGTAAAAAAAAAGAAGCAACAAAATCATAGCAAATGTTTATTGTAGAAATCTAGATAAACATTGTTTGCGTCTTAAGAAGTTTGAATAATAAAGAATGTGCAATTTTCAAGCATAAACGAATTGAATGTGAGAGAACGGTATTCAAAGCGCAGAACGAGCAAATTGCGTATCGTTCCCGAGCAATTACTCATGTCCTGCGCGGTGATATACGACATGGTCCAGGTGTTTCAGTGTTCCGCTGCCGCCGCCGCCTCCGCCAGCACGCCCGTAGAGGCGGCAGCGACTTCAAACCGACGCGCTCGCACTCCTCGCTCGGCAATACGTCTCACGAACCAATTTTCGGTATTTTCCTCATTTTCCTCCACACATTTCATCCGACAAACAAACTTTGCGCGCGAAATTTACAATCGTACAATTAATAAATATCCAGTCATTAAATAAGACTCCCAGCCGGCTCCAGCAACGAATGAGATATGAATTAATTAAGATTCGAAATGTTGGATATAAATCACATGTTGGAGAAGCTTTCCGAGCATGACAGATTTCGATACTTCGAGTACTTCTTATTATGTGGGCATAATATGCGTATTGGTTGTGTGTACTCTACCTCTTCTCGTATATAGTAGGTACGTGTAACATCACTCCCATGCGTCGCACGAAATAAATTGAATTATGAGATTCCGAACGAGTTTACATAATGTTAATGCAAATCAATTGCCGACGACTACCGGCCGAGTCGTAAATCAATTTACCATAGTTTGAATTTGCTATATAGTAGTATCTGCATCACCCGGAGCGCGGAGACAGAGATGCGAAACGCTAAGGCGCACGTCGACAATGAAGCATGATTAATGTGCGCGCTGATGAATTATTATCTTTGCATTTTCGGTGCGTAAATAACAATTCGATTAATCAGTTTACCAATACTCAAATATGTATTTGCAACAACAAATAATCTTCTGCAGAAAGGAGCAAAAAACAAGAAAGATAATTTGTGTTTTTTTTTTCGGTTTCTTGATCAAATTTTCTTTTTTTTACCATGAAATTTTCAGGAAGGCGTGTATTCTAGTGCATCAGCATGTGAAGGCCTCTCTTGGAGCATGACAAAAAATAAGGCACAAATCTCTGTCCGCAACACTTCCTCGAATTTTAAAGCACTTCTTCTTATCGAAAGCGAACGATCTATATTCCAACGCCCTCCGTCACCCTACGCGTATTTTTTTCCTACTTTGTGATGCTTGGAAAGGCAGTACTTCTTGTCGGCGTTGTTGTTGTAGCCGTTTTTGGATGTTGCGCGTACATGCATCAGGGTGGAATGGTGCGCACCGAAAAAAGAAGAAGAACGAGGTGGCACACACTAGCACGCCGTTAGGGGTTGGTTGATGCGAAAGCTGGCCCCCCTTAGCAACCGCGTGCGCGCGCGAGAAGGCAATCCTTCACGTTGGAAAGACGTAAAACTCGTTGCCATGGAGATAAATCTACCCTATTCGTAATTGGCTCTCTTTTCGCTTACGTTTAATTTCGTGTTAATTCCCTACTCATTAAAACCATCTACCGACCGCACCAGTATATAAAAATAAAAATGCAACACGAGTTGAATCATAATTTGACGATGTTTTAATTATTTATTCCATAAATAAATTATTTTATGCATTAAGTATTTGTTGTGGGCGAGGAAATAAATAATAGGTAAACTAAACGTATGTAAATTGTATCCTATCCTCAATCCCGAGATTAAATTCCCCTCACGATAGCGCGAATCCCATTTATCCTGGCCGGTCCGCGCGCACATGTTATACGAAATAGAACGGCGGCTCCGGCGGCGGCGGCGCGTCCGTGAGGTCTCACCCTCAAGATGGATCGCCTGGTTTCTCCGCAGTATACTTTCAAATTAGTGTTATTGTACTACCGCCGGCAGCACAGCCCGGTGTGAGCCTTAGGTACAACATACAACTACAAATAATGTGTGTCTGCCCTTGCAATTTCTTACGGAACATTCCCGACTCAACAATTAAAAATGTTAAAAAAGGCATTCAATACGCATAAAAACCCATAACGGTAATTTTAATAGCTTTTAAGGTAAATTCTTTTGTTAATACAACCGTGGTGTCCTTGCGGGAGACAGGTAACGGTAAAAAATTTAAACGGAATATTAGCGTGCAATTTTTCGTTTACCAAGGCCGTTGGCTGTTTGCGATCGCCCAGCGTACAACAGTTGTGCAAAGAAGTGCAATAAGTCAAAATGCACCATCTGCGGCCGCTCTAAAAGCGCGCTCGCCCCGCGAACGAGAAGAAAAAGTGCGCGGACTAATCTAATTGCTTCTCCCATGCCGCCATAAAACCATCCACCATCCCGGCGTTGCGTGCGTCGACCGAGGCGAAGACACGACCACGAGGAGGCCGCGAGACGACGGATAGAGACATCTTGCGGTTCGCGGAATACGGAGTCATAAAGCAGGCCGGGCGAGGACATAAATCGCAACGCGAGAGCGGTGAGCGTGCGGGCGAAGAACCGCGCCCCGCGCGAAAAAGAGACCGCGCGTCATACAAATTCTCAATTAGTCGCTTCGGCTGCGTGCGGCGCGCGTCCCGCGGCTTCTTTATTAAACAGTAAATACCGGGTGCGTAAATTATCGGCGCATGCACCCCGGCGGAAAACACGCTCGGAGGTTTTACCTTCGGGCAAGAAGAATTACGACCGTTATGAGCAACTTTATTTCGGCTCACTATTTAAGCACGACATATAATGAATATAAATATTGCAATAAAATTGTGCTACTTAAATTATACACGCGTCGAAAGCTGCATTCTTCCTTGTAACAAGACATAATTATCAAAACTTGAGCACAATGGAAATGTGTGGAATCAGGTGGTCATGTCACGTTCCACACGACTGTCCAATAGACTTACTGAGACAGATATTCAACGAGCGAACGTTCACCTTAAAATAAAGTCGTTCGACTAACATCTTATCTTAATTTGTTCGCTTGCATTATCCGCAACTGCATCATTCCATTAATTAAAACCAAAAATCAGAAATACAAAGTCCGATTCCAGAATTGCAAGTTTGCTGAATGTGATAGAACTTAAAGCGCATTTAATGCTAAACGTTGTTTATGTGCATCGGTGCATGTCTTATCGATATCGTCGATCTGACTCCACGCGCTCGCTAGTTCTCTTTCTGCAAGTTAAAACTTAAACTCATTCCTTGGGACCACGACGATGTCTCCATCTTCAGCGTCGTTGTCGCTAGATGTATATGTCCTACATGCTTGGCAATGTCTTACAAGCAATTAAAATAAATTCAGGGTAGTACGTACCGGGTACAAATATTGCATCACGCTTTTTGTAACAGTATCACGGATCGACGCACGAAATCAAAGGGCACGAACTTCTTAATTAAAACACGACTATCTAAATCTTTTCCTTTTTTAAACGTGTTCATGGATTAAAAAAAATGAAGAATTTGCGCAAGAATATAATTTTGCAATGGAAAAAAATTGCTGGAATCATGCGAATTGTAGAAATAAGAAATATTGAGAAATGGTGAGAGGAATTGGAAGGTTCGTCCCGCCGGCATAAAGGGATGAACGAGCGCAACCGGAGCGATATCTCATAGCAGCTCCCCATATTCCCACCCGTTTGTCGCAATCAACATCCGGTTTTCCAGTCTAGTAGAGAAAGAAGTGAATTTGTAGCGCGCCATCAGCATCGGGCGCGCCTGGAAAATACAACATGCAAAGGCCAGCAAAATCCGAGCGCCATTCGTATCCCATACACTTATTCTTATTCCCATTTCGACTCCTCTCGCAATCTCTTTTATTTTTCGAGCTTTTTGCTCCGGGGGTGTCCGGACCCCGGACGATTTTTACTTTTTCGCCCAGAAACAGTGTATTGTGAATACTTTT